TCGATATATGTACCAGTTCGATCCTCATTCAATATCTGTACCGGTTCCAATCCTCATATCTCTATCACGCCAGCTCGTAATGAACTAATTTTTTTGGTGCATATTCTCCTATTTTTTACTACAAATTAGGAACGAAATCACCTTAGTTGGATTAGTATTGGTTGAGTTACAATGCCTTAGTTTAGAAGCCATTATTAGAGTTTTTCAACAAATTTTAGTATACGCAGAATTTTAATCATATTTGAACTTTCATATCTCTCGAGTTCGGAATGAAATGTTTTTGGTTGGAAAAATAGCCTCGAGTATCGCCAACTATCCTACCAATAACAATAATATTTGAGAAAATAGTTGGACACACTAATATAGCTGGAAAGCTCCAAAACCGGAGAAAACAACATGCCTCTAGAGAGAAAGATCAACTATATAATAAATTGTTACAAGCACACAGACTAATTTCTCAAGACTCCTCCAAATTTCAGCCACACTCTCTAAAGTGTTAAATAACACTTTCTACACTTTAGATCAAGAGAAAAAAAAACAAAGAACCAAACACTTCAAGAGTACTTTGGCTTGGGTGTTTTGATACCAAAGCCTTGGAATCTATTTAGAAGCTTGAAGTCATCCCAAAATTTCATCTTGTAGCAATGTGGGATGCAACCACAATTTTTTCCTTTAGCCAAAACTTAACAATGTCAACTATTCATTCCTTTAGCCAAAACTCAACACTTCAGATCAAGAGAAATACAACAACCATATAAAAGGAACATCGTCTTCAACCAAAAAGCATAATTCTAAAAAACATAGAATTATCGTATTCCACCACAAAATAGTATCGCTAATATGAATAAACCATCCTATGAATTTTACTGCGACACATATTGCAAAACTTGTTAAACATGTATCATGTATGGTGCAACGTCCCCACTTAACATAAAAGTAAGTACATCAACTATCAACGTTAACTTCACCACATATCTTGCATCTACATCAATTCAAATCACATGTATAAATCATGAACCAGCTAACAAAACTACCTCCATATTCAAGATAGCATAGGCATACCATAGGGATGACATGACTAAAAGGAAATCATCATCGTTATTAACAACAAAAATATTGCTAGTTGTATTGGAGCCTTTTGTCAAATCTGCTGAAACTAGACAAATTACTCTTGACATGTCCAGACTAACAATACTTCCAACAAACTAGAATCTTCTATGACTTCCTCCCTTTCCCGTCATGTACATCAAAATCATTCCTTCCGACAAAGAAAAATTGTTACTCTCCGGTCTTTCTCCTTAGAAAAAAGTTTTCTAATAACATTTGTATACTTCGTGGTCTCTTTCCCAAACATTCAAATAAAGTTTCGTATGCTCATAGGAAGATGAAAAGGATAATACGAGCCTTGATGCTTTATCCTCATTTTCAACCTTCGCTCCAATATCCTCCAATTTTGATACGATATTATTAAGAACACTTATTTGATCTGGAATTTTTGTATCTCGATTCGTACAAAGAATATGAAAATTTTCCTTGAGATACAACCAATTCAAGATGCATTTACCTTGATACAATTCTTCAAGTTTCTCCCAAAGATCCTTTTATAGTAATTTCGTATGTATATTTGTCAGATCATTCTTTTCCAAAAAAATGAATCTTACTTGATGCTCTCAATTCCAAATCTTCCCATTCGTCATCGGCTTTACTGGTTTTTCTTGAATCATCCCTGGAAATAAGGGTTGTTTTCCTTTCAATGCATTGTGTATCCCAAAACGAATCAACACACCCTTGCCTTGAACTTTCCACATATCAAAGTTGATTCTTCTATCAGATTCCTCTACATTGAACCTTCTATGATTGTATTTTGATATCGTATATGTATCTAAAAACAGTATAGTATACAAAATAAATATGTACCAATCCTATAAGTATGAAACCTTTTATGACTGTATTTTATGTATTATATATATATATATATATATATATATATATATATATATATATATATATATATATATATATATATATATCTACACTCAAGATCAAATAAGAAGGAAATTTTTGGTAGGAAGGTAAGAAGTTTTTTTTCTACATATTTTTTTGATGAACAAAATCAATGAATCATTAGATGATTCATTTCTAAGATGATTCACAAGAAAAAATTCTCAAAAAAACATCTTTATGATTCATTTATACAATGATTTTGTTGTTATTCACTAAAATTATCATAAAAATGAATTTTTTCTTAATTTACTTAAAAATGAATCATAAAGATGTTTTTTGAGAATTTTTTCTTGTGAATCATCTTAGAAATGAATCATCTAGTGATTCATTTATTTTTGTTCGTCAAAAAATATGTAGAAAAAAAAACTTTTTACCTTCCTACAAAAAAAAATTTCTTACCGGATCTATATCCTATATATATATATATATATATATATATATATATATATATATATATATATATATATATATATATATATATATATATATATATAAAATACATAAAAATAAAAATTTTGGGCCCCTTTAAATGATGGGCTCTAGACGGTCGCATTAAGCGTCCACCCTTTCGGACGGACCTGATGATTATAAAAGCTACTTTTACACGTTACACATTGCTACAATTCATGAACTGATTTACCTTTTGTAATTTAAAAGAAATATATGGTCCAGCTAATGTGAAGTAAATTAACTTGCACATAATAACCGATGATATGGATGCATTACATTATTAGTTGAGCTAATGTTAAGTAAATTAACTTGCACATAATAACCAGTGATATGGATGCATTACATTATTAGTTGAATCAATACCTTGGCTGCTAATTACCAAATTCATATCGATTTTGTGCCTTGGTATGTTTATAGCCTAACATATTGAACTCATGAAATATATTTAAGTAGAGACATACGATCGGTACTAGTTTCTAAAATTTAAAGATCCAAAAAATACTTCAATAAACACGGATCCTTACTAAGAAATTTGATCTTAGGAAATACATTTACTTTATTAATTTTATTTAACACAACTATTGGCCTACAAGATATTTCTTGGAATCAAGATGTTTAAAATAATTTCGAAATAATAAAATGTAGTAGAACATAATCTAAAATTAATTTATAAAATCAATTGATCCAAGTGAGTAAAAAAGAATAACTAAAGCGCAACTATATGGGGTTCTCAGTCATATATGTATCGATTATAGAAAACAATGTTTATGAGAAACAACTCTAAGGCGATTGACATGAGAACCTTGAACACACCAAAACTTCCTACTTCATGGTCAAACAACCTCCACACCACCTTTCCTTGTTCCAAAATTCAATGAAGAATGAGCTGGGTGGAGGAGTTGGTGGTGTTGAATGAGAGAAGGAAGGGAAGTTGGTATAAATCGTAATCTCAGAATCCTTTCCATATAATAAGATTCCAAGGTATTACGCTTTTATCCCCTTAAGACGTTTTTATCTAATTAATTCATTAAGCCCACTTTAAATACTAGAATTAAATTAACTTGCCCATTTTCTGTCTTAGACATTATTAGACTTACTTTAGACTTATTTAACCACTCTAAAAAGAAAAAAACCTTTTATATATATATATATATATATATATATATATAACGTTCAATAAAAAAACCATTATTAATCAACGAACCAATGAACCAATCCAAAGCGGTGAAATTTAAAGCGGTCAATCGAAAAAGAAAAGGTTGTAGATTGTTATAATGGACGCACATGCACTGGATTATAAAAAAAAACTCACTTAATTTTCGTTTAAATTATTTTTAGGCCATGTTTTTTATAAGAAAAAACGAATGTATTGTTGTTCGTGATTTTTCGTCCTCTTTCCATAGAGATCCATGATAATATATAAAAAACAAATTTTTTTTTCCGAAAAAACCCACTTCGTTTTCTTTGTTGAAAAGTTGAGGTCTATTTTTTTAAATAAAATAACTTAATAAATATATGAAAATTCATACTCTTTGGAACTTTTTAAACATAAATTTATATTCATGTTAAAGAAACGATACTTTAGTTCAGATTCAAATTTTAAACCTCTTCAGCTTGATATTGTGAACCTGTTCAGATTCACATTGTAAACCTGCTCGGATTCACAGTGTGTATAATAGTAAGTTACATTTACAATGTGAATCTGAACTGATCGAACTTTTTCACATTGTGAATGTCAAAAATTGAAATATATAGAATTTAGATTCAGAGTATGAATCTACATTGATCAATGTTTTTTTTAAGTCGGTGTTCATGTTTATTATTAGAATACAAAAGAAATAATTTTTTTGGTATAATTAGTTTGTTTTTATAAAAATAAATTTATATATTGAAAAACTAAGAAAATGAAGTGGGTTTTTCTCGAAAAAAAAATGTTCGTTTTTTTTATATATGAACATGGATCTCTATGGAAAAAGACGAAAAATTGAGAACAACGATATATTCGATTTTTTTTTCGATAAAACTTGTGGCCTAAAAAATTTAAACGAAAACAAAGAGGTGGTCTTTTGATAAATATTTTTAAAACTACACTTATATGGTAAATATTTTTTAAGAAAACATTATTTTGGTCAAAAACGCCCAATTGAGATACATAATTCCACGCATTAGATACATGGTTATAAAGTATGACTTGTCCAAAATAACATTAGTGTTACATAATTGGATTCATTCATCTTAATATATTTATTAAATACAGGGTAATTTTCATGCGCTTACACAATTAATCAACCAATAAAAACACAATTAGACACTAACTTGTACAGCATCCTTTGTTGTTTAATTTGAATTATTTAATATCACTTCATCAACTTCAAAAAACACATTGAAACACACACACACACACATATATATATATATATATATATATATATATATATATATATATATATATATATATATATATATATATCCATTAAAATTTATAATATGATGTTTATTGAATTTAACATAGAATTGGTTTTACTTTCGCAGATATTGTATTAGTTATGGAAAAATTGCAACACTTGGAAATACCTTTCAAAGATATACAGCTAGCCACCAACAACTTTGATAATGGAAATTTCATTGCCAAGGGTGGATTTGGGAGTGTTTACAAGGGCAAACTCCAATCCTCTGATGGTGTCATTGATGTCGCTGTGAAACGATTAGATCATGATTCAGAACAAGGGAAACATGAATTTATGATGGAAGTTACAACTCTTTCTTGTTATAGACACAAAAACCTTGTCTGCCTAGTTGGGTTTTGTGACATAGGCAGGGAACAAATACTTGTTTACGAACATGAGAGCAGGGGAAGCCTTGACAACTATATAGATAATCCATATGAACTCTCCTGGATGAAGCGTCTGAAAATAAGCATTGGCGCTGCTCGTGGCATTAATTATCTTCATGATGAAGTTGGAAGACAACATAGAATCATTCATAGGGACATAAAGAGTGCAAATATTCTACTCAGTAAGGACTGGGATGCGAAGGTAGCTGATTTTGGATTATGTAAAATTAGTCCTGCAAATATAAAACACACTTTTCTTGTAACCAATGCTGTTGGTACATTCGGCTATCTGGATCCTGTGTATTACAATACGGCAGTTCTAACAAAAGAGTCTGACGTTTACTCATTTGGGGTCGTGCTATTTGAAATCTTGTGTGGAAGACCCGCATTTGTACCTGGATTTGAGTTTCTAGCTCCACTGGCTGAACGTAAGTATAGAGAGGAAAAATTAGATGATATAATTATCCCTAATTTGAGGAATCAAATGAATCCAAATTCTCTTAGCACATTAGCAACCATTGCATATCAATGCTTGAAGCCGGATAGAAGAGAACGTCCAAGAATGGCTCAGATCATTGACAAACTCGTGGACGCATATGAAATTCAAGTAAGTTTACATATACAGGATACTTTATGTTTTACATTGTTTGGAATATTTTTTATACAATGTATTATTTATAGGTAATTTTTTGAATTTAGTTTACAATGGGTAATTAGTTGTCTCTTTTTATGTTCTTTTTTGCAAGGCTTCTCTCAAAGCAACAGAATTTGTTCGAGTTGGACTATGGGGAACTAAATCAAGTGGAGGTTCCCAAAATACTTGGGAGTTTATACTTCAAAAAGATCATAAACTAAAGATGATTACTATTGATCATGGTGCTCTAATTTACTCTCTCATGTTCACTACTGTATCCAAAGGTATTCTGTATTCTACCAAAAAGGCTGGTGGTCGGAATGGTGGAAAAAAAGTTTCTAAGGTCTTAACAAACCCACACATACAAATATAATGGATCAATCGTGTGTTTATATTTTTAAATTATTTAAGATTAAGATTTAAAAGCACCAATTCTTTTAACAATATGACTATCGCTTGGATAGGTTGTGTTTGAAGATGATGAGAAATTAATTGGCATCAATGGAACAGTTGGGGTGTCAACAGGGAAATATGCTGGATACACAGTAATTGCGTCACTATCATTTCTTTCGAACAAGAAGACTCATGGTCCTTTTGGTCGAGAAACAAGTAATCGTTTCACTGTACCATGGGTGAAAGGAAGTTTTGGAGGATTTTATGGACTTGCAGGCTACTATATTAATGCAATCGGTGTCTACATCAAGGCTTCGTATGACCTAATTGCAGGGGTTGGAATTTGGGGAAGTAAAGAGCCTGGAAGTCGTAATAACCATTGGTCATTCCAGCTTGAGAGAAATCATCATTTGAAGAAAATAACCATTGATCATGGGGATCTTATATACTCACTCAAGTTCACTACCGAATTTAGGGGCGAAGAGATAACTTCTAACAAGGCTGGTGGTTGGAATGGTGGAGACATAGTCTCTGAGGTAAATACTCAAATGGTGGAGACATATGTCTAAAATTTTGTTATATTTGTTATAATATTTTAAAACTTATGTTTTCCTTTTTGTTGACTTGTATTTTTCCTTTTTTATTTTTCTGTTATGGCTCAGCTTACATTTGCTTGGGACGAGGAAATTACTGCTATCAATGGAACAGTTGGTGTCTCAAGGGGAACCTATGCTGGTTATACAATAATATCATCACTCACATTCATCACCAACAAAAAAACCTATGGACCTTATGGTAGTGTAAGAGGGACTCCTTTCACTTTACCATGGGACAAAGATTCATTTGCTGGATTTTTTGGCCGTTGTGGCTATTATATTGATGCCATCGGTGTATATTTGAAAGCTACTATATAACTAACCAGGTCATTCTAAGGGTAAAGAGTAAAAGCCTTTTGTTGCTAGGAAACGTTGGGACCCTTCACACCTTTTGTTACTATGAAATATTGATATGCTTTCATACTGTCTTCGTTATGTATAAAGCTTGGTAGTTTTTTGTTACTAGTCTCTATAGATACATGCAATGTATTGGCTTCACCTTGTCGGTTCATTTACAAAGTAATTTGTGCCACCTTCAACACTTATTTCCTTGAACCAAGGATTATACTTGACAAATTTTATTGGGAGCTTGTTCATGGAAGTGTTTAGGGAATTTTTTTTTTCACAAATCACGTTTTACTTTTTTATCCAGATCCCATCTTTTCCAGGCAAAACAATACTATATATACAGTCAAAAAATTATGACCCCTAAATTTTTATCATACAAATTCCCGAAAGTAGACAAACAAAAGCTATGATAATAGAAGCTTTGATAACAATTACAATTTAGTGTCACTAATTCGTGACATCTTTCTTGCATTAGAGAAGCTATACATAGTTGATTATCATCAATAGTCTGTGTTTTCTAATATACTTTCACTTGTTCATGTTGGATCTGTTGAAATTAATTAGTTGTTATTCCCCTTATCCTATTTTACGTATTTATCTTTTCCTATGTATTAGGTAGATAGTTGTTTTATTCCTTAAAAAACTGGAGATCTCAATGTATTTATTCTGGTACTTTATTGAATTTAGATTGATTGTTTCTTGATACCAAATTCTTCATGGTATCAGAGCAGGCTACCCAGATAAATTATCAACCCTAAATCTAGCTACTGTATACCAAGAATGAAATGATGGACAATAGCTCACCGTATTATATCCATGCCTCCGACTCGCCAAGGCAGATGTAGACCAATGATCCCCTCACCGACATCAGTTAAAACCATCGGGTCCAAGAGATGGCTAACTTCCTGTTTGCTTAGAACAAGATGGATTTTGTTGACGGAACCATTTCGAAGCCTGATGAAAAGGACGGCACCTACATGCCATGGATGCGATGCGATGCCATAATAAAGGGGTGGCTGAGGACATCCATGCAGAACACCATCAGAGGGAGTGTGAAATATGCTAACACCTAACTAGAATTTTGGGCTGATCTAAAGGAATGTTTTAGTAAGGAAAGTACCCCCCGTGCATATGAATTAAAATAAAAGCTTACCATAGCAAGACAAGGTAACAATTCTGTTTTGGCTTACTATACGACACTTATGGGTCTTTGGGATGCGATATCCTCGGTCCTTCCCACACCCCAATGTACTTGTGGTCACTGTACTTGTGAGATTGGAAAATGGTTAAACGACTTTAAAGAAAAGGAAAATCTATATCAGTTTCTTATTAGGATCAGAAATGATTTCTCAACCATTCAACTCAATTCCTCTCGATGAAACCAAATCCCACACTCAGGGAGGCTTACAGGCTTACGTCTGAAGATGAACAACATCGATCCATTGCTGCCTCTAAAGAATGCAACGTGGAACCTGCTGCATTCCAAACTCATTCTCAGGAAAGGCGCGATAACGTTAACAAGTGAAACAATGTGGGAGATAAAGGCGGGCAAAGGGATTCCAGACAAGGGCATTGTACCTTTTATGATCGAGATGGTCACAACAAAGAAGGTTGTTTCAAGATTATTGGATATCCAGATTGGTGGTCTGGAAAAACGAAGAATGAGAAAGGCAAATCAAAAGTGGATCATGTTGACAGTGAAGCATCCAACATAGGAGGACTGTCTGACATTCAATACCATGTTTTGTTGAAGCATATTTCAGAATCAAATGACAAGACACAAGGTGAAGTATCACACAAAGCAAACATGACAGATAAGTCCAATGTGAAAAATGATGACTGAATCATTGATTTGGGCTCGACTGATCATATAGTTTACAAACGTGATATGCTTGAAAATCCATCAAAGGCCCATTCTGAAACACTTGTGGTAATACCAAATGGAGAAATCATATGCGTTGAAGCTACGGGTGATACCACTTTAAAGAGTGGAACTAAAATTGGAGGAGTCTTATATATTCCTATATTTAATTGAAATTTATTATTCGTGTATCGACTATCAAAGGAACTTATTGCTTTGTTGGACTTTACCCGAATTTCAGTGTAATGCAGGGCTTACACTCGAAGAAGTTGATTGGAGCGGGTCAATGTGTGTGTGGTCTATATCTAATGAGCGCGCTAAAGTATGATAAAAGAGTCATGAATTTGATGACTGATGCAGAAGTTTGGCGTTCAAGACTTGGTCATGCCACTATCTCAAAACTTAGTCATATTTATTTTTTGAGAAATGTTTCCTTTAATTTTAAAGACGGTGTTTTCCATGCTTGTGTGAAAGAAAAACATACTCGCTCTTTTATTCCTAAGAGGTTTATTAAATCTAATGAATTCTTTCAACTTATTCACTATGATCTGTGGGGAAAATATAGAAAACCTGCAATAACTCATGCAAGTTTTTTTCCTCACCGTCGTAGATGATTATAGCCATACCATTTGGGTTTATCTTATTAAACATAAAGATCAGGAAAGTGATTGTTTAATTAACTTTCATAAGATGAATGAAAATCGGTTTGTGAAGTGAATTAAAAGAATTAGGTGTGACAACGGAGGGGAGTTCACATCCAACAAAATGAAAGGTTTTTATTCACAAGAAGGAATATTATTTGAAACTACGTGCCCGTACACACCCCAATAAAACGGGGTGGTGGAACACAAACATCGCCATTTACTCGATACAGCTCACGCTTTAATGTTCCAGGGAAGCGTACTAAATTTTTTTGCGGTGAATGTATTGAAGCAGCTACCTACATCATCAACAGATTTCCATGTAAAGTTATACATCATAAAACTCCTTACAAAATTATTTTTTTGTGTAAAACCTGATTATGAGGGAATGAGAACCATGGGATGTCTCACCTATTGCCACAATACGGTGACAGGGGAGACAAATTTGAACCAAAGGTAAGACCAGGAGTTTTCATTGGTTATCCTATTAGCACCAAAGGGTACAAAATTTATTATGTGGAACGTGGAAAGATTGTAGTCTCGCGTGATGTTCATTTTCTTGAAAAGATTTTTCCTTATATGAAACTAAAGAAAGAGAATTACACACAAGATTTCATTGAAATTCCCAGGTGGTATGAAGATACTGTTGAAAGTGGTTTTGATGAAGAGGGTCTTCGGGTTGATTAGGAAACCTATTATTCAAGCGATTTCTCAAGGAAAATTGTTAAATATGAGAGCGAAGTTAATAACCCGTCTAAACCTCACAACTTAGTTACGCAAGACATGCGTGAAGAGGAACCGAGTACTTCACCCGCCGACAACGAAGATCAACCAGCTAGAACAAAAAGAAACAAATTTCAACCAACACACTTCCGTGATTTTGATGTCACTACAAGAAAAACAGCCTTTTACGATGCTCATTGCGTCTCGTAAAAGGCTTAGACGATGCGCAAATGCGCGTCAAGGAAGGTCCTGTTATAAAGAGAGATGACGTGCTTTTGCGCGTCCTCTATAGACGACGCGCATTTACGATGCTCATTTACGATGCGCGTTTACGACACGCAATGTGTATCAAGGAAGGCCCTGTCATAAAGGAAGACGACATGCATTCACATTTCATAACCTTACGATGCACGTGTTAATGACACGCAGTGCGTATCAAGAAATCCCCTGTCAAGAAAGGCCATGTCGTAAATGAAGATGACACACATTTTTGCGTATCATAATTTTAAATGTTTAAAAAAAATATTATTTATAGATTTACTTATTTTCAAATTAAACTTGTATTTAATGTTTCATAATAGAAAATAAAATATCATATACAAAAAATAGAATCCATTGCATAAATTTAATGTCATATAAATAATCATTCAATGGAAAGATAAAACAAATCAATAGAAGTTGTAACAAAAGTTTACAAACAAATCAGATACAAAAAATACAATCCATTGCCCCTTTGCTTATTCAAGATCAACCTCAAGAAGCTAACTAATCTGTACAAATTCACCCTTGTTTATAATCATTTTCTTAAATACTTTACAAACATAATTCATCCATAGTACCTGAACTATTGTTGCAACCTTGTTTCTTTTTCTTCTGAACTCATCTCTTGCAACCATTGCTCTAAGCCTAGTCTGAATAGATACAACAACTCCTTGTCAATTATGTGAAAAATACAGCTCCTTGTCAACCTGAACTATACCAAATTACCCTTTGCTTACCTTTTCTTATGGCCACCTCCAAAAGTCAGAATTTGATAAAAGATTTAGGTCACGCATTCTCTCATCAAACTCTGTATCCAAAAGTAAGAATTTGATAAAAGATTTAAAACGTGGGAAAATATCAAGAATATATAGGATAATACATTAAGAAAAAAAATTACCTTCACAAAGAGCAAGTTTCAACCTTCTTCCCCAACAATGTTTGAAAGCAAAAAAGCTCATATATATTGATCTCTGCTAAAAGGATATGTATTGCTTGATGATCTTTCTGCAAATTGAAGTGCATAATATATTAGGCATATGATAATAAGGAGAGAATTATCTTTTTGTTTTTGTTTTTTATTTTTAATGCTCCTTTCACTGCTGTAATCCAACACATAACAGGATAAATAAATAAATAAATGCTAACAGAGATTAATGTTCTCTAAAATGAAGAACATGATATTTGATAAAAAAGAGAGTTAATTCAAAATTGATGGATGTTTACCTTTAAAAAAGGAAAAAAAGACCATGAAATATGTATATTCCTGATAGCAGAGAAGGCAGTGACAGTGAAAATCTTCATTTATCATGACATATAACCATCCCTTAATCCTTCTACCCACTTATATACTCTGTTACAACAAACAAAATATATAAAGAATTACCCAAAATGCCCCTCCTATTAATAAGCCGTTTATTCGTAGCATTTTCCCATAATACCCCTATCTAAAATATGTGGCGGGCTTTTTTGGTTAACTCATCAAGTCATTATGTCCAAATTAAGTCAAAAGGAAACAACTATATATAGCTTTCTGGATTAAGTGCTTAACCCATTAAGCCTATTAAGATAAAAAAGAAACAAAGTAAAACTAATAAAATATCATATTATTTTCCATTCAGATTATCTCTCTCTCTCTCTCTGTGTGTATATATATATATATATATATATATATATATATATATATATATATATATATATATATATATATATATCATTTCACTTTCAACACTTCAAGTTTTTAAAAAAATAAAAAATGCCAGTTTACAAAACTAAGCAATTTTATGTTTAATAAAATATGGGAATACAAATCCTCAAACTCACATCTAGACTTGATATAATCAAAACAATTAAATTAGACATGTTTCAACCCCATTGAAGTAAATGGGTCAAAAAAACAATAACAAAACTTGAAATTAAAATTAAAATCAAATATTGATTCAACGGACACTAAAACGTCTTAATATCAACACCAGAGACAAGTAATTACCCTTTTTGGCCGATCTGTTGCAGCAGTCGGCAACAAAAGAAGCGCCACAGTTAAATGGATGTGGCAGGTCGGAGTTTGGGAGATTAGGAGGGAAGATATAACAGAAGGGAGACGAGATGAGGGTCAGAAATTTGGGCCTTCTTACCAAGTTCATATGCTTTGGCAGCAATATGAGTGGAAATCTTACAGATGTTGGTGAACGAAGGGTATATCAGTCGATTGTCAAAATGCTCCTGTGTAACCCGTTCCGCCAGTGCCTCAGCTGTTTGTTTTACAACAAAACATAACATACATTTTTTTAGTAAATGACTAAAATACCCTTTCGTATACAGACATTAATTACAATTTACATACACACAACTATAGTGTTGAATCGACCCCTTCCCCTAACACAGAGCTGTTACGTTTTTTTAACAATCGCCTCCATTACCGCATCACCATGTTGAGATTCTTGTGGAGCTCCCAACTCTTCCTACAAAACAAAACACATACATGTCAAAGTGAGAAAAATAAATATTTTATGAAAATAAAATATGTACAGCCTTACTTACAGGAACACTAAAGAAGTGTCCGGGAAGCCCCTGTCATAATGAGATAAAATTGTCCTTCGCTCACTCCATCCTTGTTCAAATTTCAAAACATCAAAAAGAATGTTTGAAAAATACTTGACAAAATGACAACACACATGGAAAATGGAATGCAAAGGGCAGGCAGTTTAATACCAAACTTTAAAAAGGAAAACCAAGCTTTAAGCTAAGACTGGAAAATGAATTATGGTGTAATTGTGAAAGAATATCACGTATCTGTTAGTATTGTGGCTTATAACATTCAGGTGCCATCTTCCCATTAAAATGCCAGTAATCTGTCCCGTAGTTATACACCACGTGGTTATCTCTAACCCATTTGAGATTGACCTGATGCGAACTCAGTTGCTTGTAGACATTGGAGGTCCACCAGTTAGCTGGGGTAGGGTAGATACATAAAATGCAGTGACAGTTCCCGCAGAGTTGCGTGGAACCAACTTTATATGTACCTGAAACACGATTCAGAACTAGATTAGGATCACCAGTAATCTGTCTGTACTTTTATATGTAGTTTCAAACGATGGAATTCCAGTTCAACTACAACCATTCCTAACTAACTCTTTAATTTTTCCCTGAAAAGGGAAGTGTTACAATTAATAAAATAAAATAAAGAATACCTTGGTGAAAACAAACAGAAGCTCAGTTTCAGATAGTATTTTCAGGGCGTTATTAAAATGCTGCAAATAAGGGTGATGCAAGTACACTCACAAGTATGTCTTTCAAAAAACTGTCTTTTAACATCAGAAAAATTTTCATGAAATTTCCCAAAAAGAATATCCATAATTAGAATATCTAATTGTGAAATTAATTGCATAGGGTCAATTCTTGATCTCATTAATTCCATCGCCCTTTTAACTGTATTTGAAGTGTCAGGTGATAAGGCCAAAGCTAGTAACTCAAGCAGCTCATCATCAGAGACAATACCAATCTGCAAAAATCCAAAAAGTGTATCTTAAATTTCTTAATTTCAACTAATTAAGAGAAAACAAATGGGTAAAAATGTAAAAATTACTCACTAATTCATAGCTTAGTGAGATGGTTATTCTTTTCCCCAATAAACTAAGTTGTTCTAAAGTCATCTCTCCATCTCTAAGAGATCCATTAGATCTTGTAGCAATGAATTCTAATGCATTTTGATCATAATCTAATCCTTCTTCTAAACAAATTTTCTCCAATCATTGAACAATATATGATTCCTTAATCTTTGGAAAATGGAATCTTTGGGACCCGTGTATTTCGCCACGTGGCAGCTTAGAGAGGTCAGGAGTTATCATAATGAAAATGATCCAATAAGATAATTCCTCAAGGCTATTCACAAGAGTTGACAATGTTGACCCTTGCATTAGTTGACATTCATTGATTATAAAAACTTTGAAACAAGAAGAAACTGGAGGGAGCATGGCATTCTTGATAATATATCTAAGATTTTCAGCTTTATTTAAACTAACTGAATCTACTTCCTTAACATCTCGACTCCTTCCAGCAAAGAACAAGGTGCATTCTTGACATTCCCCACATGGCTTTTTGACATTTTTACCCTCGTGTGATAAACAATTTAAAGCATCAACAAAGATTTTTGTTGCAGATGTCTTCCCAGATCCACATGGATAAACAATTTGATGCCAACAAGTTAGCAGAAGCATTAATCTCTGAGGCCACATCTTTCAATTTGACTTTTCCTCGTTCAATCAACTACATAATCAAGGGTAAAGTTGTGTTACACATGATGTTTTTAAGAAGGGTATGTTTCTAGAATATTTATTGTACCTACTTCAGAAGTAGAGTGAAATTAGAATAATCATTCACTTTCAAATCTTCAACTCCTCTAGAATGCTTTAAGCAAAAAGCTCGTAACTCAACCTATTTAAAGTAGTAAAAAGAAAAAAGGTGAAAAGAAGAAACACAAAAATAGTTGTGTTAATGAAGATCTGTGGGTTGTGTTAATGAAGATCTTACAGAAAGAGTTAAATATTCAGAAGTACGTGTGCAAGAGCTCGAGAAAAACCAGGAGCAGATTCCTAAAGACTTCAAGAGCCTTACAAATGAGCATTCGACATGTGCTAAAACTATTTCAACATACAAATCCGAGACTATAAGGATTTTCATACTAATCGTTTCGCCCATAGGCATTGATGATCGAGGTATATGAAAACACGGTACGAGGCACCCCTTTGTTGGGCATTTCCTCGAACACGTTGTAGCCTTTGTCAAGAAGACCTTCACGCCCTAAAATTCCGATAACAATCATGTAGATATGATTATTCGGCTTCGACCAGACCTGTCGCTGCATTCGGCTTCGACCTTGGCTGATTGAGCATGGTCGATCTAGTAGCTTCCAGCAATGCGGTTTTGAGTTTGAGGATCGAGAGAGAAGAAAGAATGAAAGGAGAAAAAGAAAGAAAGAAAGGGGGTTTTAGGGTTTTCAGCCGGTGGAAACAAAGCGGGATTTTTAATTTTTGGGATTTCATTTCCCTCCTTGGGATGCAACGTGCATTTCATTAAAATTTATAAGACAACATGGTTAGACGACACACGATTTATTTAAGGTGCCCTTCGTGTTTTTTTTATTAGACACTAATTTAGGGCGCGCAAAAATGAGTGTCCAAAATCCTTTAAATTTTAGTAGAGATGACATTATTTTAACATCACACACTTTTGCTCATCGTAAATCTGTGCGTATCATAAATTGTGTCATTGAAGGCCTGTTTTCTAGTAGTGTGTTGAGCTGCCACCTTCGATAGACCACACGCAAAGCGCTCGTGATCAGCCTTCTTAGACGGTATATCCTATTGCTAACTATTTTTCATATGATGCTTTTTTTACTGACATAAAGTTTACTTGGTGGCCATTACAAAAAATAGTGAGGCCAAAATTTTTTATCAAGCCATGCAGGATGCCAAGTGGCGAATAGTCATGCAAAATGAGATTGAAGCCCTTGAATAAAATGATACATGATCCTTAGAAAATCTTCTGGAATGCAAACATGCTATTGAATCTAACGGGGTATAGATTATTAAATATAAGCCTAATTGTGACATCGAAAGATATAAAGCGCGTTTAGTAGCAAAGTGTTTCAACCAAATTGAAGGTGTTGATTATCACGAAACTTTTGTTCCCTTTGCTAAGATCATGATAATTCCTTGTTTTTTAATAGTTGTTGTCATAAGGAATTAGAATCTACTTCAATTAGATGTTAATAATGCCTGGTTACATGGTGAATTGGGAGAAGATGTTTATATGAAAATTCCACAGGGTTTTCAAAACGGAATGACACTCGTGTCTGTAAGTTCAAGAAGTCCTTATATGGCTTAAAGCAGGCCCCATGCACATGCTATCAAAAGTTCACTAACACTTTAGTTAATTTTGGTTACAAGCAGTCATGACCTGACCATTCTATTTTTACAATTCAAGAGAGTAATTTGTTTGCGGCTAATCTTATTTATGTTGATAATGTTATCATCACGAGAAATCATGTTTCGAAGATCGATTCTACCAAACAACTTCTCGACAAAGCCTTTAGCATCAAGGATTTGGATCCCCTAAAATATTTCCTTGGAATTGAAGTAGCAAAAACTTCAGATGGGCATGTCATGAGTTAATGGAAATAAACTATTGATATTCTTGAAGATTGTGGTCTACTTGGCAGTCGCCCTAGCATGTTTCCCATGAGGCAAAATACAAAGATTGACAAATTTCTCGACAGTCCTCAACTAATGTCAAGCGATATCGATGCTTCATTGGCCGTTTATTATATTTTCAACCTACTAGACCCGATATCGCGTACTCTGTAAACATTCCGAGTCAGTTTGTTTCTGACCCACGCTAAGCAGTTATTGCAGTTAAAATTTCAATAGCAGTCACATGACACTATTTGAAATCACAGTTATCGTGGTGGTATAACGTTTTTTAATATTATGTATAATTTATATTATATATTTATACAAAATTTATATTTTAGATTATTAATACTACATAGAATTAATATCATAAAAATCACATAAAAACATATCCTAATCTATATATAACATTCTAATATTATAATACGGAAACTAAAAAGTGTGAAAATGTCATCGCATCTCAAGTCTTTCATGGTTTCTAAGTTCTGAAATAGAAGAGAAAGGAAAGTTTTCTTTTGTTTCTTTGTTATTTGTAGTTAATTATTTTTATTATTTGGACTTATTAAGACAAAAAGTGTAGTGAACTAGTTAAAAAAATAAATATTTAATTTTGAAATAACACACAATCTTTTTTTTTTCTTTGTCAAACTAGCCTAGTATGTACGAAACTATAAAAGCGGGTGTAACGTCGCTATACCGCTGATGAGGTTCGCGGTAAATAGCGGTAAATAGCAGTTAGTAGCACCGCTAATAGCGTCACCGCTATTCGTAAACGCAATTTCAAAATAGTGGTTCGGTAACACCGCAAAATGCTATAGCACTGGTATAGCACTACGATCGTGTGTTATTGATAGCATAGGACCCACATGAACACATGAAAGCAATTACTAGAATTTTTCGCTACCTCAAGGCTACCCCTGGTCAAGTAATTTTCATTCGCAAGCATGGATACTTTCATCTTGCTGCTTGTTGTAATGCCAAATGGCTTGACTGCATTACAACATGAAGGTCTCATACTGAATACATTTTACTCTTAGATGACTCCCCTGGAAGACAAAGAAGCAGTCTGTGGTTTAGCGTTCCTCCGTTGAAGCCGAGTATAGGTTCATGGCAACGACTGTTAGTGAACTCCTTTGGCTCAGATGGCTGTTGCAAGACTTCAATATTTATATGGCCGATCCTACTCCTTTGTTTTGGGACAATCAAGCTATGTGCCACATAGCAAACAATCTCGTCTTCCACGAACAAACAAAACATGTTAAGATGGATTGCTATTTTATCCAAGAACGTGTGGCATCCCATGACATTAAGCCTTTATGCATTGAATCAAAACACCAGATTTCTGATGTCACACCCCGCTAAAGCGGAAACGCAAGGTATGACAGCGATAACGGTTTCATTGCAAAAGATAAAGATACATCACCATAGCAGTATTTAAAGTTTACAACCCATAGCTTCAAAAGAAACAAAATACAAGTTTTTCAAAATAACATTGTTCAAAATATAACTTCAAAATAGCTTCAACACGATGCAGCATGCTCTATGATGATGAATCTTTACATCCACTTACTAATTATTGTAACATCCGAAAAATACAACCAATTTAAATTTTTCAAAACAACCCGATTTTCATTAAAATGTTTACAAAAAGGTTTTCAATACAAGTCATTAGAGTATTCCCAGAATCACATTGCTACAAAATCATGAGGAGCGGTACGATCGCTCCTTCGCCTTGCCACAGTCTCCTGAGGAACCTGAAAAACATTAAACCACAACTGTAAGCTCGAAAGCTTAGTGAGATACCCCCAAAATACCAGCCGGTCCGGACCGCTCGCTGGGCCTTTGGAACAACCGGTCCGCCATGGGTATCTTGGCCTACAGCACAAAGCAGGACCCGCCTCAACCCATCTCCAGTCCAAACAACCATGTGCACAAAACATACATTCATACAACAGTCATAATCAGCAAACCGAGCAAACAGATCACATAGCATATCATTACCCTAACCGGGTTACCGACCTAACCGGTCACTAGCATAGCATCACTCTGTATATCGGGAAACTGACCTTAACAAGGTCTCCTAGCATGTACCACCCTAACTACCAGGATGCAGACACATAAAACAATAACATAATAACCGTAACCGAATATCAATACAATGAAGGGCCGGCCTTGGTGCCTTAGACCCTGTTGATATAGTGAGGATAACTCACCTCGAAACTGTCGGCTGAAAAGATAAGCTCCCGCTGCTCCGAACTCTGACACGAACTCCTCCACTGAACGTCAAAACATACAACTCAATAAATACCCTTAATTACCAAAATACTCCTGGAAGACAACTGGTCAACCTTGGACAAGTCAAAGTCAACCCCTGACTGACCCTACTCGCCGAGTCAACCCTATGACTCGCTGAGTCCATATGCTTAGAACTTCCTTCAGTCAGCGACCCAACTCGCCGAGTCACCCCAAGACTCGTCGAGTCCAACAACTCTGAGTCCACTCGCACCCAACTCACTGAGTCATCCCTTGACTCACCGATTCCTCGACTCAACCAGAAATATTGGGACTTCCTCGACAAGACTCGCCGAGTCCAAATGGACTCGTCGAGTCCAAGGCCATCTTCAACCTACTCGCCGAGTTGTTCTTCTAATTCGTCGAGTTCCAGGCCATCTTCAAGCAACTCGTCGAGTCCACCCATGTGACTCGTCGAGTACCACCGGTCTGAATCCATACAGAAACATCTCAGGCCATGCACTTGATCCAAAACATAAATCCAACCTCCTACAATCCATCCATCACGTAAAGTGGCAAACTTTACGTGAATCTAACGAGATCTAAGCCATATTCACCTTAAAACCAAGGTTTGGGACACGGAAGCTTCACTAACAACACAAGAACAGGGGCTTTAATGCTCTTAAGGTCTTCTCCACTCCAGATCTGAGGTAGCAACCTCAGATCCATCCTCCAACATCAAAATGTCACACAACCAAGCACCCCACACAACCCCAAAATGATGAAACTAGGAATGCACAGCCTAAGGACGA